GTTCTTGGAGCTGCTGGCGCCCGACTACGGCGCCGGCTCCGACGCGGGCGTCTTGCTGGCCGCCGAGCCTCTCGACGTGTTCCCCGGCGGAGCCGCGGCGCTGCGGGGACCTCCGGAGCTGGAGCCTGGCCTATTCGAACCGCCGCCGGCGATGGCAGGGAGCCTGCTGTACCCCGAGCCCTGGAGCACCCCGGGCCCGCCCACCAAGAAGATGCCAGTCGCTGCGACCCGCGGCGGTTTGACCTTGAACGAGCCCTTGCGCCCGCTCTACCCGGCGGCCGGGGACTCTCCTGGCGGGGAGGACGGGTCTGGCCCTTTGGCCCCTTTCGCTCCCTTCTTCCCGGACTGCGCTCTGCCGCCGCCGCCGCCGTCCTACGACTACAGCGCGGGGTACGGCCGCTCCGCGTACCCCGGCCTCTGGAGAGCGGACGGGGTTTGGGAAGAGGTGACCGTGGAGGAGGGGGCGCAGCGGGACTGACTGCGAGCTAGCCTTCGTTCCCATTAGCGACTGCCGGGGGGTCGCGCCGGCCTCTGGCCCTCTCCTAAGTCTAAGGAACCATAGAATGCACATGGAGGCGAAACGGGATTTGTAAAACTTCAGTTAACAATACCATCTGAAGAAAAAGAGACGAAGAATCGGGGGTTGTTTTAATCACAACCCCCAGAAGTTAAAATAAAAATTAAAAAGCCATGGGGGAGGGTCTTCCTGGACCAGACAAATCAAGGAAGCAAGTAGGATTTGGGGAAGCGGGTGGCGACGGTGGAAGGGATGAGTGGTGATTTCTGTAGCCGCCCGGCCCTTGTCCCAGCTTTTCCGCAAAGGTCAGCCCAAGCGCATTGGTTTGAGTACAATCGCCCCTTCCAAAGCAGTGTGCTGGCACCCTCTCTTCCCTTAGCGTGCTTCATGAATTAAAAGCCTGCCTTGAAAAGATCGAAGCAGAGATATGTTTGTTATTGATGTGGGCATTTTCTTACAGGATGATTTTCAGAGTGGTCACTTAGCCTTTCAAGATGGGAATGTTGAGCTGACCGGGGGACTCGAGGCCCATGGTCCACTGCTGACCTCGGGGTGCCTCGTGTACCTCACGCCCTGCGTATTTCCTTCCTTCCGTCCTTCCTTCCATCCCTTTATCTTTTTGACACTGGTGCTTACCTAACTCCTCTTTATCCCACCTCTCCTTGGTCTGTCCCATACCCCCTCCCCCGACTATAGGCTTTTTTCAAAGTGCTCTGGTGTGGGAGACTTGCATTTGACTGACTGGGGTCAGTTTCTCTTCTTTTCCTATTCTCTCACAATTCTGATCAGAGCTCTGGATGCACCATCTGGGAAGTATAGAATATGAAGGTGAATCAGTTTGAACTCACCAGGTGCTAGGTGAGAAAGATCAAGTGGTCTGCTCCCCTAAAGACTTACAAAGCCCTAGCAATCCTGTATTTGGGTAGCCACGAGTCAGAATACATACAGTGACAGTGGGTTTGGATGGTCGAATTTTTTATAACTTGTTGGGAAGATCAGAAGTGAAATACATAAAGTCATGACCCGACTGCTGTGCTGTGCATAGTACTGCAGGTATGTGATAACACACACACACACACACACACACACACACACACACACACACACAAACTAATGAACTGCTGAGTCATTCCGATTCATATTGACCCTATTAGAGTAGAATTTCTCCATAAGGTTTCTGAGACTAAAACTTTAAAGCCTCATCTTTTCTCACACAGTGGCCGGGTGGATTTAAACCACTGACCTTGTGGTTAGCCCAATAGGTAACTATGCCACCAGGGCTTGTGGGACACTCACACAAGGGAGCTCCGAAAAGTTCATGGAAAATAGAATTAAAATGGAATGTGCCACGAATTTTAAAAAGTAACGTATGCTTTTGTTGTTGCCGTGCGCCATCGAGCGGATTCTGATTCAAAGTGACCCCATGGGAGAGTAGACCTACTCCTATAGCATGCTCTCTACAGGATCTAGCCAGCAGGTCTTTTCTCCCAAGGAGTTGTTGGTGGGTTTGATCCATTCAATGTTTGGTTAGCAGCTGAGCAATTAACTGTCGCTTCAGGGTTAATTGTACATGCACACACATGTTTACATATATAAAGGGTTTCTCTGTATGGGAGAGATTAGGCTCATGGGTTCCTATGTCCTTGTTTGCCCATCAATTTTCCTGGTAATGACTGCTGCTGTTTCCTTATAAGCTGTTCACCCTCTTTGCCTCCATTCCCTTTGCATTGTGCTACCTCATTCTTGCTCAGTCCTTAGGCCCACCCTTTCCCATGGGAGGGATGTGTAAAGGGGGTGATGCTTCCACAGGATTCTCCCCATTCTTTGAGTAACAGATTTGATGAATCTGAAGGGCCTCTGAAGGATGAAACTTGATCTGTTCTGTAAGGGAGAATTTCAGGGAAAGGTCAAAACAATGTCTTAACCAATCATGAATGAGACCAAGAACATGAACAGCTCCATCAGGATGGTTGAGGGCCAAGGAAGTAAGGTTGAACTGGAAGTAAGCAGCTGGGGAGAGGAAATCCCTGAGAACTGGATATCTGCCTGCTCACTGGCTCCCTGATCAAGCAACCCATGAAAATGCACGAAGAGACCAACATCAAGAAAACACAGGGCGGATGTTGCCCATTGGCTGATTGAATGGTAAAGGAGAACTTGGTTACTCCAGGCCACCAAGACAGAGTGTAAGGAAGTCTAGATTTGAGAAAGTCAAAGCCTCCTGGCTGCTGTAATATACTTAAAAAGTCAGGCCGATGTGCATGTCAACAATACCATGATAGTTTCAGAAAGAAATTTGGGGGTGGGGGATAAAGATCAAGAAATAGCAGATGCAGTTTTAAATACTAGATCACTATTTTTAATAAAACCTTTCTTAAGAAAGCAGCCCAGAAATTACAGCAGGGAGTCCTATTAATGACAAAGAGAATTTTTGCAACTCTTAGAAATTTTGCTGTCTGTTGAATTTCTTTCATGGCAAAGAGTGATGAGTTCCTTGTCTGGGTGGAATATTACCCATCATTCATTGGATTTGTGTTTATCATTTGTATTACGGCTCTAAGAGAGAATAGGATTGTACTTAAAAATATGAATAACACTGTGATTGTTATTAAGGTGATAGTGTAACTGTAACGGTCCTCCCTTATGACTCTCATCTTGACTACTTTAGTAAAAGAAGGTATCTTTCCCCACTCTTCCATGCTATGCCTCTCACCAAAAAAGATGATACCATTACCTTATGTGGAAGCCGAGGCTCAGACAGGACGAATCACTTGCTGAAAGCGAATAGTGAATCAAGGATCCAGATCTCCAGTGTCTTAATATTAAAACCTATTCACCAACCTCGTCTTTGAAAGTGTACAGCACCCAGGCCCCTGGGTAATACTGGCGCTTCTGAACTTCAACACTACTGACATCTTAGGCTGGACAATCCTTGGTTTGGGGGAACTGTCTTGTGCATTGTAGGTTGTTTTGCTGAATTTTTGGCCTTGACCGCCTTGATGCTGGTAAATCTCCTCCCATCCCTCAGTTGTGATGACCAAAAATTGCATACCTGCCCTGTGAGGGTCAAAATTTCCACTGGTTGAGAACCATTATGCTAGACATATATCCATGAAGTGTCTATGAGGCACTGAGCATTTTCATGAGCATTATTTTATTAAACCCCTTACAAAGGCCCGTGCTTGGGTCTTGTTATTATTCCAAATTTATAGGTAAAAAGACATACTCTGAGGAGGGGTTTAATCAATCAGTATGGAAATCCCATTGCCATGGGGTCCTCCTTGGAGTAGGCAGGACTTCCTCCTGATGGAATGTCTCAGTGTTTTATTCTTCCCTTGGGAGAGCAAGATGCTGTATCAATCATTCTTTTTCTGCTGTATCTTCAGTCTGATTTTCCTAATTTTTTCCTTTAACTGTTTAAAACATTTAGCATGATATTTTTTAAAATAAGAAGGATAAGTAAAATGTGAAAAGGTTCCCCCAACCCAGCGTTGCTCTTTAACTATTAGCAACTCTTTCTTTTCGCATTCAAGCCTCTCAGAAAGATAATCTGTATTGTCTTTGCCTCTACTTCTATTTAAACTTAACAGTATCTTGAAAGAAGCCCTGGTGGCAATGTGGGTTATGCACTGAGGTGCTCACAACAAGGTTAGCGGTTCAAACCCATGAGCTAACTGCTCCACAGGAGAAAGGGGAGGCTGTCTGGTGGTGCAGTGGCTTATGTGTTGGGCTGCTAACCAAAAGATCAACAGTTCAAACCCCCCAGCTGCATCAACTGTGAAAGACGAGGCCTTCTACTCACACAAAAAGTGACAGTCTCAGAAACCCACAGGGGCAATTCTGCCCTGTCTTATGGGGTTGCTTTAAGTTGGCATTGATTCAATGACAGTGAGTTTGGTTTTGCTTGTTCTTGTAAAAATTCACCATCTTAGAAACTCTGTCTGGAGTCACGATGAGTCAGAATCAACTCAAAAGCCGTGAGTGCGTGGGTGGGTAAATACATCTTGAATTCTAGTGTGACCAACAATCCAGAATTTGCCTCAGGACTATCACAGTTTCAGCCCTGAAAGTTTCGCATGTCAAAACATTCCTTATCCCTGGGAAAACTGGGGTGGTTGGTTACTGGACTTTGTACCAGGGATTCTTGGAAATAGCTCTCACACCGGCCCTACTTGCCAGTCCATGGGGTTTCTAGCCCTCACCTCTGGGTGACAACTGTACAATTGCTCTTCAGCACCCCTTTGGATGGGTTGCTACAAGAGATGAAAGAGCCCTCAATAAATTGTTTAAAAAAACAAACAAACCCACAACCCTTTGGTTCTTAGAAGACCACTTTATTTGGGGTCTCCTCTAATCTCTCTGGCTCTGCCTTCCTCTTCTCTTTGCTCTTCACCCTCACACATTGGGGTGCCCTCCTTTATGCCTTCTCTCTCGATATAGTCTGGGCATTCTTTCTGGCAGCTCATCTTAAGACTGTAGCTATCGCTAGTGCTCTGATGATCTCCAAGTCTATACTTGCACATTTGGTTTCTTTGCTTCATTCTAGGCCTTTCTGCCCATAGGTTTCTCAGGCTTTCTGTTAAAATCAGAACACGCTATTAAAAACAACACTGCAGTCAGCCACACTGTGTCTTGCAGCCCTTTCCCATCCTGTCCAAATGGCTAATAGGACTTCCATACTGAAGTTTCTCCTTAAGTAGGGAGGACTTTGCTTCTTACATACTACTGTCTAAGCCAGTATGTTCCAAGTAGTTTTGTTCAGGTTCTTCAGAAAAATGTCATTTTATATCAGGAACCAGTGAACCCCAAACTAAACCAAACCCACTGGCACAGAGTCAATTCCTACTCACAGCGACCTTATACCCGCTTTACATCTTTCCTGGGGCAGATAGCCCTGGCTCTCTCCTGGCAGAGCAGCTGATGGGTACGGATTCTGATCGTGTGTGTGGTTAGCAGGCCAATGCTTACCCCACAGCATCACCATCCAATTGCAAATACTGACATCTTTTAACTTTCAGACTCCGATAAACACGGCACCTGGGCCAATAAGAACATATCCCCACTGTGCATAGGGTGGGGGTGGGGGTGGTCTTCCCTTATCAAGTTGGGTTTCCTAGGCTGCAATCTTTACAGAAACAGACTGCCAGGTGGTTTGAGGGTATCCAGCAGCTCCATAGAGAAAGATCTGGAGAACTGCTCCACTTAAGAGTACAGCCCACACAACCCTGTGGAGCAGTCTTACCCTGTCATATGGGGCCCCATGAATTGAAATCTCTTCAGTACTGTGCTGTGGGAGGAGACTGAATGTACCACAGACTGCCAGAAGAACAAGCAAACCTATCTTGAAAGAAGTACACCAGAATTCTCCTTAGACGTGAAGATGGCAGGGCTCACCTTACGTACTTGGAATGTGT